GAGTACTCGAGTAGAACCTAGTCACTTTCCCCTGAGTTTCCCTTACTTCCACTCTTTTCACCAAGTCATTTCTATTGGTTAAAATCAAGTCCAAGGTATATAATCCTCTAGTTTCTTCCTCAGTTTTTTGTGGGAGAAAAGTATCAGCCACCAGAGCCAGGAATTTCTTAAAAGGAACATATTTGGGAGAATTTGCCTTCCATCCAAGGTTTTCTATAAGCTAGATGTGCAGGCCTCTGCTTCCCTCCACACAGCTGTCTTCTCCCTCCGTGCTGCGGTCACATTAGGTTCCAGTAGCAATGGAACCCTGCATGGGGGGGGCGGAGTCATGCATGTGCACAGGAGCAAAGTCACATGAGAGAGAGGCGGAGCTGAAAGAAAGTTAAGAGGGTATGTTGCTTCCAACAGATATCAGGATAATTGAAATCTCCCAACACTACTATATTCTGTCTCTTTGAAATGCTTATAGTTTGTTTTTCAAAGGTTTCATCTGCATTTTTTCTTATTGGTTTTTATGAGTGATAGCAATCCTTCCATCACATCCCTAATGGACCCTCCAGGCAGACAATGTACCCGGTGGGTCCATAATCTTCCCAGGATACAGTATTTCAGTTTTAATCCCACACAGTACAGAGTCTCCTACTGCAACTACTCTTCTCCTTTTTGTAGGATGTGGATTCGGTGACTCTTCTTGGCTGAGCTTCAGCCTCTTATGTCCTCTTGAGGGGTTCCATGTATGTCTTCTTCTGCATGTTGTCTGCCAGACTCCTCTTCAAGAATCTGAAAGGAGTTTTGCCGTTCCGCTTCTCCTTTTGGTCTTAACTGTGACTCTTCCATGGTGCTTCCTCCACAATGTTTATTCTGTCCTCAGTATTCTCCTGTGCTTTATCTTTCTGTTCTTCCACCTCTGGTGCCTTCCTTGGCTGCTGCTGTTTGAGAGTTCTGTCTATGTACTCTTCATTTTCCCTTATTGCCTTAAGCATCACTGCTCCAGTTCTTTCACTTTTTTCCAATAATGCTACCAGTTTGTACTTGCATATACAGTGGTGCCTCGCTTAACGGGTGCTCCGTTTAGCGATGAAACCGCATAGCGACGAACTTTTTGCGATGGCAAAAACAATCACATTGCGATGTTTCCTATGCGGTTTTTTCGCTTTGCGATGATCGGTTCCCTGTTTCGCTTACCGATCATCACAAAGCGATGATGTTTTTAACAGCTAATCGGCGGTTCCAAAATGGCTGCAGGGTAAAAAAAAATGGCCGCCCGCTGTGTTTTTGCACGGATTTCTCACTTTAGAGGCAGCAAAAATGGCCACCATATGGAGAATTTTCGTTTTAAGGTCAGTTTTTTGCCCATAGGAACGCATTAAACAGGTTTTAATGCATTTCTATGGGCTTTTTAAAATCGTATAGCGACGAAATTGCTTAGCAGTGATTTTTTCTGCACAGATTAACATCACTATGCGAGGCACCACTGTATACAGTACAGTGTTGTAAGAAGGTTCGTTCTTTCCCCGTGGCTGTTCCCCTTCTTGAACTGTAAAAGATGAGTCACTATTTTGAATAAAAGAACTTTTATTAACAGAACCTATTGCTTCAACTTTGTTCAACTCGTTAGAACAGCAAACAGATAACTGAGGTGGGGAATTGTCCCACATCCATAACAATGACTTTTCTTGGTCAATGTCCTTTAATAACAAATTCTGCTCAATTTCTCTTTGTCGGTGAGTTCTCTCGGTTGTTGCTTGCACCCGGTACATATGGTCCCACAGCAAGGGTGGCAAGCCCACTGCCCTTCTGCCTGTTTCTCCCTCATGTAGCTTGGGTCTGCTGGATAGACTTGTTGCTCTGGACCTTGATCCCTTGGAAAGACTAAAACTGTCCATTCCAATGGACTTAGTCCTGGTATAATCGGACAGATTTTCTCTTCTGAAGACCACTCGTCTCTTCCTTCTCTGATATTCCCAGCTAATCTCTTTCCTGGTACCTTATAAGCAAATGTGCCTTCTTTAACTACCGGTAAGTCATCTGTTGTTTCCTCAAATACAGAGACCTTTTCTGTATCTGTAGATGTGTTTCCTTCCTCGGTTGTTAAAAACACATCTACTCTCTCTCTGTCATCCCTTTGATTTTTCCTCTCTCTCCCTCCTAACTGCTCCAACGGTTCGCGTTCCCCGCGCCTCCCTATCCGTCTCTCTCGTGCGCTCTTCTGCACGCCTTTTCTCTCGCCTTTCCTTGCGCCTTTCTCTCTGCCTCTCGCTCCTCCGCGCGATTTCTCTCCTTTTCTTCCTCCTCGCGTGCATCACTCGCTTGATCTTTTCCCTGTTCTACTTCTGTCTCCTTTCCTGCTGTTATTCCTTTTGATTGTTCTGTGTCCTGTTTGCGAGGGAACGGCTCACTCTGCTCTGACCTCACAACTGTGCCGTTCTCAAGCTTGAAGACAAATATTGTACATATTTTGCAGTTCACCACCACTGAAGTTTTTCTTCTCTCCATAATCCCTGTTACCTTTTTGCTTTCTTCTGTTTGTTTAGGAGTGCCCTTTCCTTTGTCTTGTTGGCCTTAAAGATGCTGGAAAAGTCCATTAATATATAACTATATCCAGAAACCAAAAAAATTGTTTGAGGTTTCTCCTTTAGCTTCCCTTGTCAAACTCCTGTTAGCTCTCCCTGTTTCCTCGCTGTGGTCACTGACTCCCAGGGCTCACTCACTCTCAGTTTTATTCCTCTACTGTTCTCTGTTAGGAGTCAACAAACTGAAGGAGTTATGAGAAGGCAATTTAAGCAGTTCCATCTCTGGCCTTAAACATAACAGTGGACTAGCCTGATTTTGAATGATTTTTTTTCTTTTATTTTCTTCATCATTTCAATGTATTGTAAATTGCTTTGCTAAGCAAAAAAATGCTTCAGATAAATAAATGCATCAATACTATGAGATTTAGTTTGTTTTATTAGCAAGGAAACCTTACTGTAATCAGTCTAAAAGTCTGGGGTAGTTGTTTTTTGGAAGACTCTGGTATGCAAGGATACATCTCCTTCCCGGTTAGTTTTTTAAAAAAAAAACTTTGTCATTTTGGCTGCTATCCTGTATCTGTTTTCTGGGCATAAGCACCACTGACGTTAAGGGGCCACATATACTTGTATTGTAACAGCACCAGGATGTAAAAATGCAATGGCTTATCCCATTGCCTTTCAACGTGGTGGACTTTTCTTTCTACGCCTAGATGTGCATGGCTGCCTTCGAACATGAGATGGAGAAGGCCTTTGCCATTCAGGCAAGTCAGGACAAAGTATGTAGTATCTGCATGGAAGTGGTGTATGACAAGCCCTCAGCCTCGGAAAGAAGATTTGGCATCCTGTCCAACTGCAACCACACCTACTGTTTGTCCTGCATCCGGCAGTGGAGGGGAGTGAAGCAGTTTGAGAATCCCATCATAAAGTGAGTTTCTCTCCAATTGTTCCTGTTTTTTTTAGAGCCCAAGGTTAATGGAGTAGGTAAAATATTTTGCTTGTAGTATTGTGTTATTTTTTTTCTGAAATGAAGATCATTATAGAACATTTCAAAATAAAAAACGTTTCCCCTTGTATCTGTAGTTGCTGTTTTTGCTGTGGCCGTCATAGTTTCCAAAGATTTTGTTACCTTTTGGTCCCAAGTAGCTGCAGTTGCTTAAGTGATAAGTGTGAAATGGCAGTGAAAAAGTTTTCCTGAATCTGCCGATCTCCCTTCAGGTCCTGGTAGGGGAGAGAGAAGGAGGAAGACACTTGCTCTCCTACCTCAAACTGCTCTGACTTCACAGACAGGGTTTGTTTGTTTGTTAGTTTATTACATTTTCACCCCGCCCCCCTAGACAGCATCGATTCAGGGCGGCTTACAAATATCAAAAAATCATAAAATATAATAAAACATATAAAATATAATAAAACATCATAACCAATATAGTGCGTTCAAGATGGGGAATGATAAACAAAGAGATGGAACTTGTAACTTTTCTGCCTCGTCTCCCTTGGTATTTATGGGGGTGTGAAGCATTAAATATTTATTGTATATGGGCAAATGTACATTCTGTTACTATGAAGCCTTTTGGCCAGTTAGAAATAACTTTACCCATGGGAAGGGCCTCTCAAACTTCAGTCTTTTCCTCTCTAACACTAGGGAGCCAGTGTTAGGCCAGCAGTCCCTGCTTAGCAGTGCCATTTCTTCCCTTGTTCTTAGGTTCTTAACCTTTGTCTTTACAGAAAGCATGTGGAAATTAACTGTGCAGTTCATGATTTTTTGAGGGACATTTTTCATTGTCCAATCTACACTCTGACATCTTGTTTTAAAAAGGGAAAGGCTGGATTGAATTACAAAGTGGGATAATTTAGACCTTACTGGATCTTGAGAAGTACTGTACAAGGATGTTGCATTTTAGGAAGTCTGTTCTGTTTTTGAATTGGGTGTGGCAGCATCTTCCCCACAAGATAAACATGCTCTTTTTTTTCCATTCAAGGTCCTGTCCAGAATGTCGTGTGATCTCAGAATTTGTGATTCCTAGTGTCTACTGGGTAGAAGACCAGACCAAAAAGAATGAGCTGATTGAAGCATTTAAGCAGGGAGTGGGGTAAGTATGTGCATAATAGAGAAGAGAACTGAAGTTTCTACTCTTGGCTAAATGTAGATCAGTATATACTATCTTGTGCAGAATTTGTCTTTGACAAGTCGTTAAATGCACTAAGAGACTAAATGTTCTGCCAACCAACTTAATATAATAATTGTTGGAATTAATTACTTGTTTCATGATATAACTATAAAAGACTTTGTCAAGAATTTGAGGACAGATCTGCTCTGGCTTCTGATGGGTATGTGTGTGTTTTCAAAGCACACAAGCTGTTGTGAGCAAGCTTTAGGTATGCATTCCTGTAGCTCTGCTTTTTAATCAATAAACTCTGGTCTCTACAAACAATAGATTGTTATGCCAACTGTTGGGCCCATTCTAGTTATCTAGATCAAGTACCAAAAACAATGAGGGGGTTGTGCAAGGCTTTGGCATCACCCAAACCTATTCCAGGCCAGATTGGAGTCTTAGCTCCTTGAACAATGCATCCAATCCTTCAGGTTTTGTTAGTTCTCATTAGGCAAAACCCAAAGAAACAATACAAAAAACAAGTACAAAGACATGTGGCACCTTAACAACTAACCATTTTCATGTAAGCTTTTATGGACACGTCCACTTCATCAGACATTCAGAGATAGAATGAAATGTATATGAAATACACTTTCACATTCTAAATGTTCATTGGTTACACACAGTAATTAGGTCTATGTTTGTTTTACAATCCTTTTGTAAAAATACAGTACTTCAGGAAGACAGAAAACAGGCACCAGGTCTGAGCAGACATGAGAGCTGGGGGGGGGGGCAAGAGGAGGGTTTGGGGAGATTGGAGATGCAGTAGAACCCCAAGAGGGGAAAGAAAGAATGAAAGAAGTTAGCAGGGAAGTCATGGGTTTTAATTTAGGGAATATAGACCTTAGAGCCTTTTGATGAGAGACAGGTTTGGTAGTTGTGAAGAAAATGGCAGTGGCAGTGGATAGCAGTAGAAGTTTTATGTTTGGTAACGGCTAAAGAAACCTAAGCTTATATTCAGTCCATTTCTATGGGTGTCCCATCATGCACATAGATTTTATCTCAGCTGTTTCCCTCTGTATTCTTGATTTGTAATGATTCTGTTCTAAAATAGTGACTTTTAAATCTTACACAGAGTAACCTGGTAGAGTGAAATGGACAGAAACATTTTTTCTGTGTATTGTAGTTACTGATTTGTGGCTGTTGATCCGTTTTCATAGAGGTTGTCCTCTTTGTCCTATGCAGAATGCAGAGGGGCATTGTTGGCAAAAGATGGCATAGATCACATTAGCTGAAGAACATGTGAAACTTCCTTTGGTATTGTGTGTGGCATTGTTAGGTCCCATGATTGTGTTGCCAGAATAGATGTGTGAGGGCAGAGTTGGCATCTGGTTCTTTGGCAAGGTGTAGTCCCCCTGCCTGTATTGTTGTTTTGTGGTCTATTGTACGTGAGTATTTGCCTAAGGTTGGAGTATCTGTAGGCAAGTATGTGCCTCCCACCAAGGGCTTTGGAGACTGAAGTGTTTTTATCAAGGATGGATTGGAGATCATGTCGGATGCATGTGAGTGGGCTGAGTTGTGGACTGTAAGTGACATCTAGCAGTGTTTTGTCATTTTGTCTCCTGGGTCTGTCTTGCAATAAGTTACTTCTAGGTATGTGTCTTACTTTGTAGTGGGTATTGTAATATGAGGAGTGCATGTTGTAGATCCTTGAGTTTGGAGTTTCTGCCCTGAGGGTCAGAGTAGATATGATTGTATCTAAGGGCTTGACTATACACGATGGATTTTGTTATGTATGGGAAGCTGAAAGAGTGCAAATTGATTGATGGGTTTCAAATATATCATGGTGCTAAGATGTCCATGTTGTAGTCTTGCAGTGGTGTCTAGAAAATGCACCTGTTGCATAGTTTGTTCCAGGGTGAGGTTGATGTTTGGGTGAAAGCTGTTGAAATCTTGGTGGCATTTTTCTAGGAATTCCTTTCCATGGATCCAGATCAAAAGAAGTGTCATCAGTGTACCTCAGTTAGAGGAGTGGCTTTTGGGTGCAGCAGCTGAGAAAGTTTTGTTCCAGGTCAGCCATGAATATGTTTGCATATTGTGAAGCCATGTGGGTGCCCGTTGCAGTTCCATTGAACCGGAGACAGGTTTTATTGTCAAAGGTGAAATAGCTGTGTGTGAGTATAAAGTTACAGATAGTGGTGATTATGCGTGTTTTGGATGGTTTTTCTGCGGGATGTTGGTTTAGAGGGCATCTACATCCATTGTGGATGGTGTTGCCAGGAAAGTTGTGTGTGGACTGAAGTTTCCTTAGGAAGTCTGTGGTATCTCTTTACGTAACTAGGTGCATTGGTGGCATAAGGTTTGAGGGTGGAGTCCCAAGTACCCCGACTGTGATGATGTTGATGCTTGATACAGTGGGTCCTTCCAGGGTTTCCTGGTTTGTGTATTTTCAGTAGATAGTCTTGTGCTCTGTTCAGCAGGATTTGTTCACATATGTCTCCGGGGAGGTCGTTCAGGAGGTTCTGTAATTCTTGTTGGTATTTGGTGGTTAGGTTTGTGGTTAGGGGCTAGAAAATTTTAGTGTTGGACAATTGTCTCTCACCCTCCTGTGTGTAGTTTGATTTGTCCATGACAACCACAGCACCGCCCTTGTCAGCTTATTTGATCACTATATTGGGATTAGTTCTGAGGCTGTGAATCATGCTCTGTTTGGGTGAGGTTGTATGTTAAGTCTGGTTTCTTTTTTTATTATCTCAGTCCAGGTGCAGTGATGAAAGCACTCAAGATAAAGGTCAAGTTCTTTGTTTCAAACTTCTGGGGGAGTCCCCATGGAGTTTTTCTTTTTGTGGTGTTGTGACATAGGTGTGACAATATATAATTCCTCCTCCTGTTGGGATATTTCTCACCCATTTTCCCCCCAAGGTTTTGTTTTGCTAACATTCCTCTGCTTGCCACAGTTACACTTCACACAACCTCAAAACAAAAGAGACTGTATACAGAGGAAAGAGGCCTTTTCTTTCTTTCTTTCTTTCTATCATGTTCTATTACGTTTAAGAGGAGGAGATATGCTATGGAAATCTCTGAGAACATGTTGTTAAGGAATCTCTGCCACTATGTCTTTTGAAGAATGCAATCTTGTTGTATTCGCAAAGGCTTTTACGGCCGGGATCTAATCACCCATCTACAGAAAAAGACAAAAGCCCATCTCACAGCCATAAATACTCCACTCCCAAGCCAACTACACCAGAGCACAGAGTGCTGTCCTCTGAAGATGCCGGCCACAGAGACTGGCGAAACGTTAGGAAGAACAACCTTCAGAACATGGCCAAAGAGCCCGAAAAACCCACAACAACAAAATCTTGTTGCCTTACCCTTAAGACACTTCTATAGAACTTGGCCCTCTTAATGAAGTTCCTGTTTTTTAATTACTTGTAAATTGAGGCTTCAACATCGTTGTGTGAGGCACCAGTGTACTTGTAAATTGAGGCTTCAGATTGATAATGCAGTGTGAGACCACTAAACATTATAAAAACCAAATTCTCTAGAAATGTGGGGAGGCTTTGATTTTTTTTCTATATTTTGGCTTTCAGTCAAATGTCAAACCTCATCATTTCCCTACCTAGTTTTTTTAAAACTTAAAAAAATCTTTATGTTAATTTTTTAAAATGCATAATTCCTTTGCGAGGGAAATATATTTAAACAGTTTCTAATTCAGGGCAAGGGAGAAATGTTTGTCTCACTGTTTGGGTCAATAACATCTATTAGCTGACCACCTGACCACCTTATCTACCTCCTGAGAAATCTATACGTAGGGCTGGGAGCAACAGTTAGAACTGGATATGGAACAACTCCGGGAGGCAGTAGAAGATAGGAGGGCCTGGCGTGCTCTGGTCCATGGGGTCATGAAGAGTCGGACACGACTAAATGACTAAACGAAATGACGATGGAACAACTAATTGATTGAAAATTGGGAAAGGAGTACTACAAGTCTGTATATTGTCCCCCTGCTTAATTAACTTATATGCAGAATACATCATTCAAAAGGCAGGACTGGATGAATCCCAAACCGGAATTAAGATTGCTGGAAGAAATACAACAACCTCTGATATGCAGATGATGGCAGAAAGTGAAAAAGAATTAAAGTTGGAACAACTAATTGATTGAAAATTGGGAAAGGAGTACTACAAGTCTGTATATTGTCCCCCTGCTTAATTAACTTATATGCAGAATACATCATTCAAAAGGCAGGACTGGATGAATCCCAAACCGGAATTAAGATTGCTGGAAGAAATACAACAACCTCTGATATGCAGATGATGGCAGAAAGTGAAAAAGAATTAAAGTACCTCTTAATGAGGGTAAAAGAGGAGAGCACAAAAAATGGTCTGAAGCTCGACATCAAAACAAACTAAAATCATGGCCACTGGTCCCATCACCTCCTGGCAAATCGAAGGGGGAGATATGGAGGCAGCGACAGATTTTACCTTCTTGGGCTCCATGATCACTGCAGATGGTGACAGCAGCCATGAAATTAAAAGACCCCTGCT